AGAGTACAGCTCCCACCACCACCCCTAAGCGCCAGGGAAATGGTAAGAAATACAGGATCTTCCAAAAGAACGCAGGAGAATTAGTAAGTCTGGGACCTCAACACAATCTAGACAAAATTTACTCATTATCTGAATCTAGTTGAGGTCTGCTATTTGAGAAGTTGTGCATTAGATATTTGTGTAACTAATAAAAATATTAATAGTTATATGAGGATTTTTGACAGGAAGGATATAAACACTCATGTTTCAGGACACAAGCTAATCATTGAATTAAGGAGGATTAGGAAGACATTTCTTACAGGCAGGTTATTCCATAAAAGTATATTATACAGTGTATTATTCCAGTGCATCTTCACTGGAAACCACTACTATTAGTCAGTCTTGGGGACAGAATAATGAAGTAAGCCAACTGACAACCTGGTCCAGGATAGCAGTTACTAGATCCATATGTAACAAAAGTCCAGTCCTAACTGGATATGATTTGCTTTCCAATTGTTATTTTCCTTTTTTATATACCATGAAGGACATTTATCCTTGTTTGCAGTGATGCAGTATGTCAAAGTGACAGCTTTGCACTGCTGTAACCTTGGTTTAGATATCGTATTTACATCTGATAAGGAAGTAGAAGATGTAAATATGCAAATGTATATCAAGAGTAAAAAAAGTATGGCTGTGAGGTTTAGGGAGACGTTAGTGCAATAGCTAAATTAACAGCGCTCCTTAGTAAGAAAAGCTCATCAGACACATTTTAAAGAGACAGAAAGAGACCAGTGAATATGCTGCTTTCACTGTCAGCTTGGACCTGATTGTACAGCATTTGCCACAGTTGAGCTGTTACCCCTAGGTGTTAACAGAGTATATATTACATATGCACATAAATATGTATATTTGTGTGTATTTCTGAAAGGTCCAGAGAGGGAAGCACATGGGGAATGGAGAGATGCTGGCCAGCAGGAGCAGCATCAGGTCCTAACTGGTGTCACCTCCCTTTGGGCACCCAAACAAAGATGAGTTTTAAGGAGGGCTAGGGCAAAGATTACACATAGTTTTAGTGTAACTTACAGAAATGCCTCCCAAATATGAGATGGCAAACACAAGAAAGCGAGCCATGGAAATCCAACAGGTGTACAGTGGAGGCTGGCATCGGGACACTTCAAGAGACTTAACCCATCTGTATTGAAAGAGAACAGCCAGTAAGGGCGTAGATAAACTGAGAAGGGAGCTGGAAGTGAAAGCAAGTTTTTGACTGATACAACACAGAGGGGAGCCATTTGAGGGATGCCAAGAGAGAGGGGGCAATGTAAAGAAAGGTATTGGGGGAAAAAATACCTTTTCCATGAGTGTTGTGGTCAATTTTCTAACCACAGATTCATCACAGGGCAATGAGTCAAGCTATCTAGAACTAATATGACATGCATGGCAGTCATTCCTCAGAGATGTCTGCAGAGACACTACATGGACCTCAACCGTGTCCTCCTTAAAATTCACCCCTGCTGTGATACAAACAGGAAAAGCTCAGCAATGATTAATCTGATGGTTTCCAGTCACTGCCTGGAATCATATTGTTGACCAGTATGATCTCACTGTTACCTTGTGCTTGCATTGTTTTCTTTATAGACCTGTCAGCTCTTTATTTTGATTACAAGGTGTTCAACGTAACAATTAAAAAAAACAACCCAGAATGCTAACACAATGTTGGCAGTTCTGACTGAATGTACTGCCAGTCCTACCCTCCCCTCTTTGTCTCTTTCATTGTGATATACCACTCTTTTCCTCACAGCAACACCACTCTGCTACAGCTGTGCTGTAAGCTGAAATTTGAAATTGATTTGGCTAGAAACACTGGAGGCAGGGGGAAGTGCTGGATTTCTTTTTGCTGGATCAGTTCCCCCATCTGGTGGAGCGTACAACCCCACCTGGATTGTGCCAGCACAGCAGAGGGAAAAGGGGCAGTACAGGAGCGGGGCAGAAAAGGGGGGCTGTGGGACATGGCCATCCATAACCCAGTATTGGTACCAAATACTTTAAAACACTACATCACAACTTTATGCAGGGACATCTAGGCATTCCCCCTACACAAATAATAAATACCCATAATAAAAGTGTAAATAAAAAAAATATTATTCATACTCCCCTAAGGAGAAATTCATCATTCATAAGTGATTGTAGAAATTTCAATCAAATACTAATAGTCTAAATTAGAAACAAGATTGCAGTTGGTTAATTCTGGAGTGTAGATCAAGCTGGACACAGATTTTCTTTGTCACTTGTGAGAGCCCACATCACACTACAGATTCAGTAGCTATCCAAACCAAAGCCCGTTCTTTTTAGAAAAAATCACAATAATTGTTAGTGGTTCAAGGAACCTCACAGTAACAGACTAGCAGAATGTGAAAGGCAAATGAAAGACTAGGGCAAAGGACGAGCATTCAGTTATGCTTTCAAGAGGTGCTTTCAACTCAGTAATAAGCTAAAATAAGTAGGTTTTTGTCCCCTTTAATTTTGAAAAACCTAACATGGGGCTTAAAATAACATTTTTACAATGATAATTTTGTTGTTTGGATTATGATTGCTTTTTAAACCTACTATTCATTAAAATATCTGCTCTTTTTTTCCCCCCACTGACTCAGTCTCTTGGTTATATAAAATTGCTGGTGCTTTTGTCATTCCTGTGCCCGGTTGGAGAACTAGCTCAGCAACATTTGTGTAGTCAAATAAAGCAAGTAAGCCTTACTTTGTGCCATGATGTGTTCCTTACACAGACAAAATAAAAGGAGAAATCCCAACCCCACCAAAGTGAAGGGAAACAAATCACGCCTTAAATTCAGCAGCATTAAGATTTGACCTCAGCTTTTTTTTCCAGAGTCAAGAGTGCCAGACTAAGTCCATCTGGAGTGTCTCCTTCGGCATTCAGCTTGACTTGTGACATGGTATGTTCAGCAGAGAGACTTATGAACACCAAGTCTTGGTTCTGAAGTCTAGCATAATGAAAGTCAAGAATACGTACTTAACTGATCATCAAATAACATGCCCTTGTTGCAATTTCAAATGCAGTTCTGCAAAGGAGCTTTAGGAATGACACTAAAGTAGATAACAATCTGTGCTCCTAATTACATTTCTTGTTACAGTTAACGAGAAAAACACTTCCAACTTCTGAGCATGCAGGCTCACACTGAGATACGAGGAACAAACATTCATTTCATTAGCACACATTGCCATCTATAATAAAGCTATAACAGGCCAAATGCTCTAATTTACGTTTCTGAAACTGTGTCTCCCTCTGGTCACACTGTTGTTACACTTTCAGGATGCCAAGAAGGAAAATGGATCTGGCAATTGTCACTGGTTGGAAGTGCAAACAATTTTTCCCTTAACCACATCAGCTTTGCAGAGTTACCAAGAATATAAAACCGTAAAAGCTTACTTCAGTCATTAAAGAGATCTGACTCACAAAAAAGGAATCGCTGTGTTGAGTTACGAGATGTCAGTTGACATAGTTACTAAACTGATTGCCAGAAGCTGGGAAGTTAGCAACTAGCTTTATTTTTAAAATTTTTTTTTCCCTAATTTTCTGCTAACGACTCTTGCCAGAAGGAAGTTGCTCGGGTAGATGGCTCTTGAGACCTAGTATAGCAATGTTTGTGGGTTTGGAATAGATGCATACTTTTACTAGTATCATAGGCCACTATCAATTAGATCATCAGATGATAATAATAATTTAATGTTGTGGTGCCTGAATTGCTGTCTGTGGCAATATCTTAACATCATGCATGCTTTAGCTCTTTCTCTTAACATCATGTATGCTTGAAGACCAGCTCTTGAAAAGATGAACAGATGTTATAGGGCATTGATATTCAAGTTAAAATTAAATGGCAGTAGGAATCTTAAAAGTACAAGAACATCACTGAGTACTTGAAAATAAATTCAATTTTAACAAATAAAGAGAAATGACCCATTCAAGTATAAGAAGGGCAAATAAAGAGAAATGACCCATTCAAGTATAGGAAGGGGTAAGAAACTTCCTTTAATGAATTTCTCAGTATAAGACATCACACAAAATAGCTAGTTGGAGAATACTTTAAGAAAAAAGAATCAAGATTCACTTCTCAGGTGATGGAGATGTATAGCTGAGATCTCTAAAACCTCCTTAGCCTGAGCCTGCTTACATGTATTGCTAACCAAAGCCAATTCTGCAAAATCACAAACATATGACCATTTTCCTTCCTGCTGCTAGAAACTCTGCCTAATCTCCCAGCAAGTGGTCCCATTTGGCTCATACTCAAAGCCTGAAAAAGATCCCAGTTTCCTACAGCTTAATATGTATGTCGATTGAGTGAACAGAGGCATTACAAGAAACCTCCTGGCATCCTTACACCTTTACAAGCCTGCATGTATTTTATGCAAACCTAGCAGTACGGCACAGAGCATGTACTATTTCTGTGCTTTTTACCAGGCTGGCTAGCCCATCCACTCAGCGTAACGCTGAGAGGGAGTGCTCGTATTACACAGTGGTCTTTATTTTATATGAATACACAGATCCAAGTGCCGAGCAGTATGCACAAATCCTTTACATTACAGATCAGCAAGGAGCTCCATTAATTTCAGCCAAGACTAGATCAAGCCACATGAGGTAAAGGCGTGGGTAATAAGCCATTAGATTTACTTCAGCTTCTCCTGTAGTTACTTTATGCCTTTTTAAACTTGTCTTAATTAAATTAATTCTGGAACATAAAAATCGCTCAGTTTCCACTGATCTGGAAATGACTCTTTTTAGGCCAGCAACACTTTTGCCTTGAGACATTTACTAGAGCTAGAATAGGAATCAGTGCTTATAGCTTACAGAGATTGTTTTATTATCATGCTTGTTGAGTTTGCTCAGTGAGATTCATACCACACTTCCACTGTGCCAATGTTTGTTTTTTCAAGCAAAAAAGGTTTGTAAATAATGGCCCCAGAGTATTATCTGACAAACCAGTGTTCTGCTTGAAACACAAAAACAACAGATGCTACTTTCCTTATGCATCTAAATAATGGCAAGGTAGTGAGTGGTACTGCTCTTTACAGTACTCAACATGATTTGATCTATGAAAGTGTGTGCAACTACTTGTAATCACCATGTCTACCTTATGCAATGGTTTATGTTCAGGTGCAGAATCGTCTCTGCAGAAAAGAGATCTCATAAAGAAATCCAGTCTGGAATCACCAGCAATGGTACAAGCAACAGTTCCTTGTAGTGCTTGTGAGACTGGCTGGAGAGTACGTATGAGGCAGGTAAGAGCAACCAAAGCAAACAGCAGCAGGTTTTAAAGGGATCTTGTGAACAAAGAGCAAAGACCTGGGAATTGTGAGATGTGGATTCTCTTCCAGGAGCTGCAGTAAAATTACTGTGTAAGCAGGAAGCCATCATAATTGTAGTCAAAATTAAGCCAGTCAGCCTGAAATATGAAGCGTTGTTTTTAATGTAGCGTTGTTTTTAATGTCTCTAATTCAGTGGAGTCCTAATCTGTGATAAAAGCCCCATGAAACTATTGTAGAAATTAATTTAATAATTAATAATAAAAGGAATCATTGAAAAATCAGGCAGGGGGGGTAGTTGTATTCAGTATATAGGAGAGCTGGGTTTTTTCTCATTCTAACCTATGTTTGTACTTTCCTCTTTATCGTGTTGACGTTTGCAAACAATAAAAGGGCATTATGTGCTGGTCATTGCATCTGCTTTTGAGATAAATCTGTTAGCATTCCAAAGGGTCAAGGAACTCTTCCAGGGCAAACAAATTCTGCAGCACTGATGCCAGATGGCGTGTATATAAAGTGGAAAATGAGAAAAGCAATTTACTGTGTTCTTGTTCCAGGGAGAAGTATCACCCAGAAGGACAGCAAAAGAGGTGAGAAACTACTGAGAAATTGAAGAGACAGTTTTCATCTTCTGTAATATGTTGTTTTCTTCATATCTGAAAAGTCTAGGTATATAGAGGAGCTGCAGTCCTTACTCAGGCAAAATTAGTCCAATATTTAACTAAATGTTTATATATTGAATATAACTAAATATTTATTATATTGAGTATTTAACTAAATAATGAAGGGTTAAATTGATAACATAAAGCATTATGCATTAATTTATGTAACAGGTTCTAGATTTATCTATATAGCTCACTAATACATAGTCTGTGTTTAGAGAAATTTTAGTCTCAGACACAAAATGTTTTTATCTTACATTTTTGACCAAAGTCTACAAAAAAGGCAGAAAATAATGCATCCGTTTCTTAACTATAAATTAGCATAGCCTCAGCAAAGGCTAGTTAGCAATGTCATTTATCCAGCTCAGGTGCTAACCACTACTAGCTCACTTGCAGCTGTATTAAATGTGTAATTTCCAAGTGTTCAAAACAACTCTGCAAGTTTTTGAACTAATCAATCTTTTCTTCAAATCTCGTGAAGCATAGGAATGTCTCTTGGAATGGTTCAAAGATAAATTCTGGTTGGTGTAAAAAATTTAAAATCAGTTTCTTAAATACTGAAAATTATAACATGTTTTCATAAATAGCCTGAACTATTGGTGGTTTTTATCTCTTGCCCCTGAATCTCAAAAATACGTAGCAGAAGTATAAGTGTTCAGATATAAGCAAAGAGAAAGGAAGAATGTGTGTCTTAATATTTATGTGTGCACCTTTGCTGAACGTATTTTAATTGGTTATATATGTAGCTTTTTGAAAGCAGTCCGTCCTTTTAATGTTACAGCTTCTCCTAGAAATAAAGGATATAAATAAAGACTTCCCTCTATACAGGGAAAAGAACTGAACAACAATGCTGAGGTTTGCTGTCGCCCTCTTTGCTGTCATAACGTCATCTACCTGCCAAAAACACGGATGTCTGGAAGGGGACACCCACAAACTGAAGCCAAGTCCTGAGCCAAATATGCATGAATGCACTCTGTACTCTAAATGTAAGAGTGGTTTAATTTTTGCTAAGTATAGTCTAGAAGTACAGCTTTGTACATGCTAATTGTTTGGCAGCTCCCTTAATTTCTGAAAAATATATGAGATGCAGTATAAGTTGCATTTAAAAAGCTTTCTTCATTGGCATTTTACTGCATGCAAACCAAGAGTAAGATTTTGGTTCTTGACAGTGTCAGCTGCAAAACTCCCATTGACTTCATTTATTATCTTTAAAAAATTCTGACACAGTTTACTTTTCTTGTAGCTCCATTTGTTTAAAAAAGTTTACAGCAAAGATGAATTTGCTTTATTGTGATTAAGTATAAAAACTAATTAATTGTAGCAGACACCAAATGGGAGCGGTTGAAAGCAAAATTCTACAGTGAGCAAAGTATAGTATTTATTACATTTCTTCAACTCTCTTTTTATGTTTGGTAGCTTTCAAAGTTACTATCCCTCAGGATACAACATCTGGCAGAACACTAGTAAAATTCTTGGGGCTCTCTGGGCACACCTTGACAAAGCACTGTTGATGCCAGTCCACCCCACTTAGCATTTACACTGCTGCTTCCAAACCCAAAAATGTTAGAGCTTGAGCACATCTTCTAGTTAGTAGTAAGAGACTTTATCATGTTACAGACCAAAACAGGTTCATCTTACATTTTGAATCTTCCAAATACAGTATGAAAGAAAATCCTAATTGCAAGATCTCTGTTTCATTCCTAACAGCTTCCTGTTGCTATGCAGACTTCACAGAGCAATTGGCTCATTCCCCAGTAATTAAAGTAAGAAACAGCTACTGGAACAGATGTGGGCAGCTCAGCAAACCGTAAGTCGGCTTTGATGTTGTCTGTGTCCGGGTTCAATAGATCTGTGCTGTAGCAGCCCCAGCTAATGGTAATTCCCCCTGAAGTTGCCAGTGGACCGTCCCGAGGTTGCCCTAGAGATTATGCCACCCGGCCCAGTTCCCATCATCTTGTCTCTATACCTGACCAATGTCTGGCTCTTCTTCTTCTCCTCTCACAGAAGCCCATGAATCCCTAAGTACATGCTATTTGTGCAGAAGGATTTATGCCATTTTACCAAAAAAGGCTTATGTTTTTTTCAAGTTTGCTTTCAGCATAGAATCAGATCTAGCAATGCAAAGCAGTCCTAAACCCAGTAGGTAACAACCACAGCACACCTCTGTAGCTCTCCAAAGCAATCATCACATACCAGTGAGTGTGAGCCCTAGTCAATACAGACCAGGCTTCCTCCTTTGTCTAGAATACAGATCAACTAGATTATTAAATCTCACAAACAAAATACACAAGAGTCCAGAAATGAAACTTCTGAGTATTTAGAATAAAAATTCTTGTAGTGCTGTGGGGTTTGTAACCATGAAGAATGTCTTCATAATTAAGATTTTTAGTGCCCCATTAGATGTTAGAGCTGTGAAACATGGTAAGTTATAGAAATAAAAGAATGAAAGTACAAAACAATTAAGCAAAAACAGATGTGCAAAAGTAACAGCTATTGCCTGCCACTCCCAGAAGAGCAGCAACAGTGTGTGGTTTTTAAGTAACTTCAGCTGGGCTGTGGGAAATTCTAAAGATTAGTGAAACCATGAGGCTACAGCATAGAAGAAGTTTTGTACTGTAGTTTTAAAGTACATTTTATTATTGCCTGGAATCATTTTTGCCAGGAAAACTCAAGGCCTCAAAAGTTTACGGAAAGCTTACACAAATAGGGCTGAAATATGCACGGAAACATTTGTGCAGTCTTTAGCTGGCTATGGTAATTGCACGGTCAGAGTCTGTACACAATGCCAAAGGAATGAGTTTGGAACCTAGACACAAACAGGGCGAAAAGATGCTTTTCTATGTTTTTCTCCTAATCTGTAGCATTGCATCCACATCAAATCAGGCCTAGAAAACGGAGGCTATAGCCTTGATGCTAAGAAACAGGCTTACTTGTGGCTTTTCTCACCCACCACAGCTGTGAAGATTTCACAAAGAAAATCGAGTGCTTTTACCGGTGTTCTCCACATGCTGCTCACTGGATCCATCCCAACTACACTGCTGCTATTCAGTCTGTTCCACTGTGTCAAAGCTTTTGTGACGACTGGTAGGTCCAGCTTTTTATGAAAGTATTTTTATTTAGCTGTGGCACGAAGATTTAAGATTTGATGGTGTTACACCACCCTTATGCCTTTTCTCTTGCTCTTCCTCATTTCTTGTTTGCCATCTCTACTTTTTCCTGTGCTAAGCTCCTACCCCCTAAATAATAATGACACAGGCTGAATGCAGGATGAACTCTGAACTCTGTCAGAGTTTGGTGACTCAGGGACAGCACCGCCCTGCTCTCCGTGAGGATGCAGTGCAGTGGCACAAGAACTGCCTGACGTGATGGAGGAGCTCTAGCCACGTTGGCAGGCCCTAACAGCAGTGAGGACCTGCCCACCCTTTGAAAAGTCCATGCCTGTGAGTTAGCACTTATGCAGTTAGTGTTTTAAATCTGAATACTTGATCATATTAGGATATATTTCTTCTATATGTATAAAAAGCACTATGCAATCATGAAAGCAGCCACTTTCTGTATGTTTTCAATTAATTCATATAGCAAATTAGCTTAATTCCTTAATTTTTCACCCGTGGCCTTTTATCTTCCCATCTATCATCCCTCTCTCTAAAATCACTTCTAAAAGCCTGAATCTCAGAGAAACTTGCAGCCAAATAAGGCTAAAAATATTAATAGCAATGAGGAAGCATAATAGCATTTAATTTGTTTCTCAAAATATAGCATCAGGGAATCACATTATTTTTTGAGTGCGAGACATGTAGTGGGACAACCCAGACAGCACCTGTTCATCCTTAGTCTTGGGGTAGGAGCATTACATTCAGGTGGGGTACTGAAATTTTTTCAGTGGTCCATATCCAGCATCTCTCTCTCCCTCTCTTCCTTCCTCCCTCCCTCCCCCCCTGCTTTGAGATGCTGGATCTTAAATAACGTCAACATGTGACGTGTAAATCTCAGTCAGTACCATATTCATGTTGTGCCTACTAACTACAGTAACTTGTCTGTGTGGCTTAACTGATGTGAAGCATAGTACAAACAGCACAGGCTGTGTTCACACTGTAGGATTGTAACTGCTAGTATCCCTTGAAAGTAGTGAACTGTGAATGTCTGAATCCCTTAGGCTGCTCTGAAAATCACAGAAGACTGTTTTAATACTTCTAAAAATATTACAAAAGAGCTTTTCTTGGAAGCACAGAGAATACAGAACACAGGTAGCACATGGTCAGGTTCTCTTGCACTGCTCTCTATAGTGCTTTCCCTAGTGGTTACACAACTTGAATATTACTGACACATGGATCCATTTTCACTCTCAGCTTCTCTCCAAGGGCAAAGCCATGTATGCAGTGCAGTATTTTAGTAGGATTTGTCTTTAAATACTGTCTCTGTTGCTTTGTGCCAGAGAAGGAAACAAGAAGCATAGCTTGGATTTGTAATGGAAGATAGTGAGAAGGGCTGATGTATTTCTTAGCTTCCCTAGGGTTTCCTCTAGTGATGAATTTTATTTCTGTGTTAGGACACTCCATGTGCCTCAGGAACAGATTAGTCATGTGCAGTCTTCCTTCCTAAATTTTTCGTGATCTCCTAAACTGAATCCAGGTTATTGACCTCCTTGAAGCTAAAGACTGAGACCTTGCATTTGCCTCAGTGCTGAGAATCTCAAAGCTCAGAACCAAGTATTACCAAAATTTGAAAGCATTTGAGTTGCCAGTGAGCTTTAGAACAGATCTAACAGGCAAAGCAATAGAATACCAATATCTAAAAGAAATGTATCAAAAAATAAGTAGCACACAAAGTCAACACCAAATTGCTATATCCAGTGAAAGTGTAAAGATGAAAGAAAATACACCCTGTAAGTTTAGTTTGCATCTATGAACTGGTTTAAGCCAGCCTTAGTATAGATGAGATTTACACCGAAGTGTATATGGTGGGCCAATATTACAAAGCACAACCCTCAGTGTCGCCTGGGTATTGCCAGAACCTCCAGGTAAATACCATTTTTAACTTTCATCATTGGAAAGTTGGGGGAGGTGTGATGGATAGCTGCTGCACAGAAAAAAACAACCCTTTTCCAGCACAGAGTCTCCTGGCAGAGAGCAGGCTCTACTCAAAACAAATACTGAACAATGATCTATTGCCCCTGTTGGTATCACAGATGCCTGGCCTGAATCAAAAATGTAATGATGATCCATTACTGTGCATGCCAGTCTATCTGCCTGCCTAATGCCAGTGTCAAACCCATTCCCTCACCCTGCTTAAGGCCTGAGGCTAGGAGAGCGCCTGGACAAAATTCCCACTCTTTCTGGTGATTTAAAATAACATTTTTTCACATTCTATTCACTGGAGTCCCTTTAGCGTGCTGTAGCACTGCTAGTGGTGTGACCTACTTTCTCTACATGCCGTGAGTATGCCTGCTGCATACTGTATGTCTTTGTGGCCAGAAATGTGCAGAGGATTCTGAATGAGCAGTGACTTCATTTAAAAGAAATTAATCTCACTAGCTTGGGGCCTTCCTTTTCTTCCTATTGTCTTAGGATTCCTTGCTCCCACTAGCCTAAAACTATTGCTTTTGAAAGAGCCCAATGTACAAGCCATTTGCTGATCCACCTGTGAAGAGGCCCTGTGCCCTGTAAAAGATAAACAGCTAACTGTAAAAAATGGAGGGAAAAAAAGCTTTAAAATAAAATTATCCTGCCCATTGTGTATAGGGAACCGGTATGTTCAGGGAGGATCTCTGAAGTATTTATGTTTATGTTTCTCACAGGTTTTAATTAATGTTTGAAGAAACCACTTATGGGTTTCTGGCCAGCAGAAATCAGACTTTTCATAAGTCACGATTTTTCATAAACTTAGCTTCATAATTACTTCCATTGGGATAAAGAAAAACTTGTAACAATACAGTTATGCCTTGCTGCCTGCTTATGTAACAAACCACAGAGTCAGGCAACAATCATAATTAGGAAACATTTCATCTGACAATTCAGTAGATAATGGTGACTAAAAATACAAATACATTAATAAACATATTTAATTCAAATTCCTGAGGAAACCAGATGCCTAGCAGAAATGCCCCAGTTCAGTAAAACTCTGAAATACATAGTCGTAATTTGAAAAGTGTAACTGAAGGTGATGCTAATTTCAAAAGAAGCTGTTCTGCCCTCTCCTCAGCCCCACGGGCTGCTCATTCTTTCCTCTACCTTGTCCCCACCCACGTGCCAGCAGCACTGAGAGGCCATGAAACAACCCTGGCCTGGGAACCCATCAGGCTGAAAAATACTTAGCCACATAAAAAAGTAAACCAAAAAAGAAGAATGTGGGAACGGCACAACTGCTTTAAGTGGAAGTGCCAGTATTAGGCAGCTCACAGTAGGTATTGATCAACTTTGCTAGAAAGCAATGAATTTAAGTGCATGCATAAAGGACATGCCTACGTGGCTTGAAGAATCAAGGGCTAATTGTTGAATGTGATGCTGATATGTGAAGAGTTCATTGATGGTGATTAATAAAAAGTTTGCATTGATGCTTCTAACTGGCGTGCCTTCAAGCAGGGAAAGTGACTAGCGTGAGAGAAACAGCTGTCACTGGGGAGTTACCTCTGTGCATCTTTCTCAGTCAGGGTACACACAGCAGCTAACAAACAACAAACCAATTATTCTTATAGTCCCTAGTCACAAATCTAGTCATAGCAGCTACTGGTACGATCTGCCTATTAGTGTCACATTATATTAATTTATTGAATTGCAGCCTATATTTCCAGCAGAGCCCCCAACTCTAACAGCAGATTCATGGATGGACACATTTGAGAATAAGTCTCCTGCCCTAGATCTGTTTAGTTCAGGCCCTGGTTAAGCTCCATCTGTTACTGCTCATTCTCCCACCAAAAAGCCCAGAAAACCTATGTGAAGGTTCTGTAGATGTGCATGTTCTTACCTTTCTGCATGTCCAAACGTACTGCAATGTCTACTTCTTGTAGTTCTGTGACCACATGACAACCTCATACTTCATTTAAAAATGTAAGTCTGCAGCCCTCATGATATCATAGTTTTGGAATCATGACACAGCAGATTAAAAATGACAAAGAGAAAATATATCCAAAGGCATTACTTATAAATGCCATGCTGAACTATGCTAACTTTTATGCTCCCCCTCTACTCTGCCCTGGTGAGACTGCACCTGGAGTACTGTGTCCAGTTCTGGGCTCCCCGGTTCAGGAAAGATGAGGATCTCCTAGAGAGACTCCAGAGGAGGGCAACAAAGATGATGAGGGGACTGGAGCATCTCCCCTATGAGGAAAGGCTGAGAGAGCTGGGCTTGTTAAACCTGAAGAGGAGAAGGCTGAGAGGTGATCTCATCAACACATACAAATATTTTAAGGGTGGGTGTCAGGAGGACGGAGTCAGACTCTTCTCAGTGGTGCGCAGCGACAGGACAAGGGGCAATGGGCACAAACTGAAACATAAGAGGTTTCAGTTGAATATGTGGAAGAACTTCTTTACTTTAAGGGTGACTCAGCACTGGAACAGACTGCCCAGAGGGGTCGTGGAGTCTCCTTCTCAGGAGATATTCAAAGCCCTCCTGGATGATGTCCTGTGTAACATGCTCTAAGTGAACCTGCTTTCGCAGGAGGGTTGGACTAGATGATCTCACAAGGTCCCTTCCAATCCTTGCCATTCTGTGATTCTGTGAACCTTTTGGAAGCTTTCCTTGTGGTTTTGGCACTCTCACTTACTAGTGTGAATAGTCCGCCTGAGGCCACTGAGACTAAGTTTAAATAGATGTTAACTGATTTGCAGAAAGTGATCCTTAAGAAAGGTAAGAGCCAAAAAGTACAATATATGAAGAAGTGGAAAGCAGGTAATTATGTAGGATAATGGTAAGTCATGAGATCTCTCGTCACACAGACCAGCCAGTTGCATACCATACTTGCTGCAGGCCATTTATGTTTTTTTTTTTTTTTACATTACCACTTACAAGTTAAAAATAACATTTGAAATTTTAGACCTATACCCTACAAGACTCTTATCTTTCCTCCTTCACCTCAAGTTTAACTTCTTTGAAAACATTATTCTGAGGCTGATGGCCTATTAGTTTATATGATTTTGTTGTGTATTTTCCTTATTTCGGTGCACGTTCTTCATAGCAACCCCCTGCCCAGGAAATACCGTTCTTTTCCTGTATTCATTCACAAATACAAACTTTCCCCACGTCTCCCTCAAGTGACAGTTCCCTCTTCGCGTACCTGTGCTCTGTCACAATATTGAACATCAGCATTCATGAAGCTCCCTCCCACACAGTGTCTCCTTCACTCAGTAGCATCAGCAAACATAACCAAGCAGAAACCACTGCATGAATGTGTGTTGCTCCTCAGAACATCAGCCCGTTACTTAAGTCTGTGAGTATAAAACATAGTGGGTGATTTGTTTAGTCTTCATTGGGATTTAGGTCTTCCTGGCCAGCCCAAGAGTTTATGTGCACATCAGGCTAAGATAATGTGCACATTTCTTGAAGACCTGTTGCTAAGCTGTACTGTGCAACTATACCACATTACTAGCGTAGCCCACGTAGACTTTCTGAGTTGAATCTGAGTCCACTGAAAAAAAAGTGAGAGAAATAACTGTATCTTCCACATTAATCTCCATGAAGGTATGAAGCCTGCAAAGATGATTCCATATGTGCTCATAACTGGCTGACAGACTGGGAATGGGATGAAAGTGGAGAAAACCGCTGTAAGAGTAAATGTATTCCATATAGTGAGGTAAGAAAACCTGATCAACTGGAGCAGAAAAAAGGCATTAAGAGTTCTTTTTTTTTTTCCTGAATATATGGATGTAAAATGCAACAGGTGAATTCTTTTTACTTCAGCAGTTTCAAGACATACCAGCATGAGCCTTTTAAAGTATATATATATATATTAAAACATTTATATTTATGTAGATTGCTTACTCTAACCATATGCACATTGAATTAATCACTATTCATACCACTTGTGAAACAAAAGTAAAAGTTCAGGCAGCACTGATATTTTTACCACAATGGGGTTTAGAAAATAAAAGATAAATGAACTTTGTTCATACAACAGAGACACTGAGATGCATTTTGTAAGGTTCCTTACATAACGTGGAGCTTTACACACCTCTGTCTTTTTAAACTGGGACATAAGTTCCCAAATCACTAGGAAATTTTTAAGATTTTCTTGCCTATTAGGCGTCTTTGCCCTTTTCTCTGTTTACCTTGTTATGTTCAAGTCCTTCTCCATCCTCCAAATCCCTAAGTCTTCTAATTCTTCTAATTATCTCCCTTTTGTTTTCCATAGACCTGTCATATCTCTGATGTGTGTTCTTCATTGTGTCTGCCAATGGTTAGGCAGACCTTACTTTGTTCTAGATAATTCTGATGGTTAAAGAGCAGCACTGACGAGCTTTCTGAGAGCTCATCCCACCTTTCTGAGAAGGTTTAATGGTTGTGACAGCTAATTTTATGAGCAAAAATGTATAAAATGAGAACTGACAAACCTTATAGGAGCAAGGTTGCCTGGAACCTGATCTACAGACCTTTCAAGAGTCAGGTAGGATTTTTTCTAGTGACTCAAGTAAGTTTAGCATCAGGGCAACATAATACAGCTCAAAACTGCTGCACTTACTTGAATATTTTTAACAGTTGAACTTCACTGATGCTGTGAAAACTATCCAAATTGCAGAAGTAAATGAAATTTAAGTGTAGTGCATAGGGACTGGTAGTAAAGCTTGCAGAGATCCCAGATTCATTATTTTCAATTCAATTCAAGTGCATGTACTTCCAGAAGTCAGTTCAGCAACTGATACAAGTGGAAGTCACAGTCCAGTTAGTGCTGGATTGCTATCTCCCTTGCAAAAGTGACAATAATCAGGAGGCTCAGGAAGGTGGCCAAAAAACAAATGGGCTGCGGAAACTTACAGCTTAGTTTCCCAAATGTGCTAAATCATCAGTAGTTCCAGATGAAATGAAAAACGAAATTATAATCTCCATAAATAATCTCCAGTCCCTGCTCAAACTGTCCCTGGTCCAGAGATAGGAGTTTTTAACCTTGAATTCCCTTATACTTATTTCTTAAAGAAAATATACCATCTGCAGGGAAAAACATGCAGCAAATCCAGAGGTCTTATCACTTGAAGCCAGGCGCAGCTATTCCTAAACTAAACGGAACCACACCCTAAATTGCCCATGTTTCTCACCAAAAATAGGCTTGCATGGTAAGTAAGAATAAAGATGAAGTTTCTTCAGAGAAATTAAAAAAACACATTTCCCATATGAAAATTACATGATATACAAACACTGGACTGGCTTGGTTTGGAGTCACACACGGAAAAGAAAGTTACTGTTACCCAGAAGCACAAAGGGCTCTCCAGGGTCAGAGCACTGTGGACAGATGCTTGCTTTCTTTTCATACCCACAGCTCATACGGAGGAGCAATCAGCGGCCCTACATTTGACATACACAAGTGGTTGAAACGGACTATTTGGAACAAATGCTGAATGTGGAACAAATGCTGAATATTAAAAATGCACAATGGATCATAGCCAGTTTCAGCCTGGCTAAAATGAGGCACATTTTGTCATTGTTCTCCCAGCTGAGTGCTGCCCAAGCAATGTTAATGCATACACTAGAACATCTTCCAAGAAGCTGAAGAATCAGAATCCTTTGCAGTAATTTAGGGACACATTTGGTAAATGGGCTGTGTGCACTGCTTGTTTCCTGCAGCATTCTGGCTATGCTGTGATCTTTAAGCAGAGTTAGGAGGAAGGTCAAAATAAAATTACCAATTTAGCAAGTGGAAGAGCATGAACACATGTTAGAGAACCTGTGAGACATAAGAATAGGGTGGAGCCATGTCTCTTGCATACAGACCTAAGAAAACCCACATGACAGCTTTAAATGCTTTCTGGAATGATAAGCTAAAAGCAGGTAGAAATCCAGGAACTGTACAGGAGCTGGAAGAAAATGTCTAATGCTGCTTAAAAGCACAGGAATAGTGGGAAAGATACAGCTAAGATCTGCCTGCCCTGTGAACACAAGGAGAGAACTAGACGCAGCAGCCTTTCCATTTCTGACCCTTCATTGCTCCCAGTGCACTAGCCAACCTCCACACTCCTCCTCCAGCAACTGCAGCATCCACGGAACGAGCCCTGGCTAGAGACAGTGTGAACTGAAAAGCTATTTTGCAGACTACAGACTCTTTGGAGCTATTTGGAATGGAGACTATTATTCACAAAGGGCAGATTTCTAAGGCAAAAGCAATGATTGATTTCCTCTCATCTGCGTTCCTGCACAGTATAGATCAACATAGTTTTGCGTGGGGAGACCGGGAGACACCTCGTAAGAACTTGCAGAAAATAGGTGGAGCAGAAGAAGCTGCAGGGCTATAGATGCCCAGTCCCACTTCCACATAATAGACTTACATCTGTAATCATTATTTTTTTTCACACAGAGCAGCTTCCATGCAGGAATCTCCCAACCACAAACACAGGGCACCTTCTCCAAGGTTCACCATGTCAGATCTTTATATGAGCTGGTGATGACAGTAAACCAGCACACCATCCAGAAATTACAGCACTAAGAGAAACACTGTAGGATTAAAGAATCATTGTCAAGTGCGAGGACTGCTTGTACTATTACAGATGAAACATAGCGTCCTTCAGAGAGCTGCTGGTGACATGGTCAAGGTGAATCAGTCAGTAATGGAACCTGGTCAGCTGTTTCAGTCATTAACACTCCCACTCCATAATTCCCAAGGCTTCTACTCCTGCCATCACTCCCACCCCCAGCTTCATTCTTAGCTTTGCTTCTGGGAGTACCTAAAGCTTCCTTTACAGAAACAGAAAAGACTGAACTTCAGAAATGCAGGCAAGAAAAGCATATATCCCACCCACTCTGTGACTGGATGTGATAACTCCTAAGCTAATACTCTTCAGGCAAACTCAAGTTGGGCAGACATAAGGTAATCACAATGTGAGCTTGGCAAACAATATCTGTGTTGTGTGACTGTACAGGTCCTGTGATGCAGGCCTTACAAAACAATGTAGTATCAAGAACAGGACAGATCCACTTGCAGAGAGTGCAAGAAGATGCAGTTTACAATTTCTTGAGGCAGAAAGGTCATTGCACCGCTGGACACAGCACTTCAGAGGCTTGAAGAAAACTTTTCTTTGAGCAATTTCTAAGTTATGTCCCTTCTCTTTGTCTGTGAGGTCCTGCCCAGTCACAATGTACGCTGCAGCAGGCACAGCAAGATCCCAGAGCTGTGACTCCACTGGGCTGTCTCTAGCCTGTAGATATAAAGATTCCCGTATTCAAAACACTCAGTTTGGCGCTTTCAGCACTAGTCAGCTCGCAAGACATGTCAGAGTGTCCTGACATGCTACAAGTTGTACGGGCTCTCACACTCAGCTTTGGTCTGTCAGACCCAGAAAGCTGGCTGGGCTGTCAGCCCCAGGGTGGAAACAAAGGGCTGGCTGTTGATCACTTTGCACTTTGTGTAATCACTTGCTCTTACAACAGCCAAATCTCTTTTGCAGTTGTGGGACTGGATAACATTTTAAGGTATCTCAGAAGTGATGAAGCATGGCACACAGCAAAACAGTGGATGACTGCAGACTGCTTTTTTATGATCTAGTACCAATTTTTAAAAAGTTATAAGTATTTATCAATTTAATACAAATCAATTTTTAACTTAATTATGTTTAAATGTAACGGATGCATTTCTTATTTGACATACAGATGTACACAAATGGGACTGACATGTGCCAGAGTATGTGGGGGGAGTCATTTAAGGTGAGTGAATCCTCCTGCCTCTGCTTGCAAATGAACAAGAAGGACATGATGGCAATCAAGTACCTCCTCTCCGAAAGCTCAGAGGAAAGCTCCAGCAGCAGCAGCAGCAGCAGCGAGGAGCATGCCTGCCAAAAGAAACTCCTGAAGTCTGAGAAACTAAAGGGAGAGGAAGGGGAACAGACAAGATAAATGCTGGTGGATGTATGTCAGGACAAGAGAAAGCATCATGGAGGCTGGGCTCAGGGCATCACGCCAGCCTGCTTTATCCCTTACTTCCTTGAACATAATAAATCAATGTCTGGTTATATTAATCTTTCTCTGATGTTTTTGCATCTGCATCACAAAGCTCCCAGACAGGTTAGCACAGGTGTAATCTTGTGACTTGAACGGAACAGCTAGAAGCCTGAAGGTAACATCTAGGGGTTGACTTTCAAAGAGGAGAGGCACAGTTAGCTCCTGCTGACTTAAGGTGGAACAGTGAGAACTATAGACCTCTGGAAGGCCTTGCCAGTAATGCACCAAATCATCAACCCAAACCCTTCATCAGCATAGGCACACAGCATTCTTGTCACAAGTTCCTGTGCGCCTGGCTCTGCTCAGATAAAGAAGAAATGCTGCAGGCAGAAATAGGTCAGTGAGCCTGGCTACTGACCACCAAAAATGTATTTATTTTGCCTCTCAAAAACATTCTTGCAAAACAGGGGATTGTGGTGCACTAGATAAAACCCTGGACCCATATATTGCCAGTATACACTAATGCATGGTCTGTTGCATGGGGCTTTTACCTTAAACAACAGCAGTACAAAAGTCTCCTACAATATGAATTTGAAGCATAATTTTGAGTGCAATTAATCCCACTGATTCCAAACAGAATGATGTCTGACAAACTGAAGTGTCAGGGAGGGCCCCACTCAGGTTTCTGCCATCAGCAGTTCTGCTTCCCAGCATCATTGTTACAGTCAAAGTAAAACCAAAATCTGCACCAGTCCCAGAGGGACTCATCAGGTAAGGCTGAGTGAAATCCTGCTTTCACTTAGGCATCCATACTCCCTCTGACATTGCTGTAGACTGGACAGGTCTGTGCTATTCTGTATAGCCTTTCAGAGTGGTATCACCAGGGAGACCATGAGAAGGATTTAATTTGGGGGGTCATATTACTGAATTGTGAAAATCAGCATCATGTCAGTGCTTGCCACGGAGCTAGGCACTTTACAGGATTTAAGGATCTGGTCCCCAGTTAAAACAATGACTTGGCACATGCAGTTAAACTAGGAGAATCTTAAAAATCCAGCACACTTTCTTCACTGGGCTGTTTATTTATTGGAACGGTTTCACACAGCTGCATTAGTAACACTACACCCATTAGGTCATGCTCTGCTTCCAACCAGCTTCACAGTATATTTAACAATGGACTAATTCCGACCAGCACTGAATTGTTTTTAGAATTATACTTTGCCACATCTGTATTCTGTGCTAACTCAATTTGTCAGTTCTACTGTTTGAAAAGAAAGAACAAGAATTTGTCTTCTGTAAAGCTCTAACAGACCTTTTCCCCCCTATTTCACTAACTCTGTTCTTTCCTGTCCTTCTTTATTGCACCTGAATCAGAGCAGAAATTTTCCTGCTCTTTATTTTGCTGTGCTCAGAATTCAATAATTAATTATCCCCTCTCGCTGCCATAACACCAACTTTTTCTGTATCACCATGGCCAAAGATTTCCTTCATGTTCTTTGTTAAGTATAGCACAATTGTCTCTGCCTGTATCTCTGCTTTTTCTTCCCATTCCACTTTATTCTCTTTGCTCTGGCTAAATTACTCTCAAAACCACTCTCAACAAACAATTCTTCCATGCTTAGTTCCAGGATGACCCATGAGACTGGTTACTGCGTGCTCTTGAACAGCACTGGATCCTCCAGCAGCTAAGGGACCAAGACCATTTCACTCCTATTTGTAGCTTTCCCACTGACTCATGATGTACCCTAAGCAAACCATTTAACCCTTCTGTGACCCCAATAATTCTTCAGGGCTACCATATTTCCTCACAGTCCTCTCTTTTCTAAGCCAAAAAGTCAAGAATTACTCAGTTGTCCCTAGCATAGAAATTGTCCTATATCTCTTGGCCATTCTTTCATCGATCCAGGCATGTTTTATTAAAATACAAGTTATCATCCAGAAAGACTTTCAGTCTTGATTTAAAACTCCAAATAATGGAGAATTGTCTGATGCACCTGATAATTTGTTTCCTCAGTGTTAAGGATTATGCATAATTTAACATTTGTTGTTTCGGCTTTCAGCCATGGTTTTTTGCTCAAGCCTGTTGTATTAAAGAGTTCTTCAGTAGTCAGCATTGCTTTTCTGCTCAGCAGCATATACACTAGATCAAATTGCTTCTTAGCAATTCACTCTATCTTAGCTCTATTTTGTTCCCATATGTCATCATAAGACATTCGCTCTCTCCTTAAATCATACTTACGGTTCTTCTCTGTACGTTCTTGAGTCATGAATATCCTCCCTAAATTGTACAAATCAAAGCCATACTCCATCGCAGTGTTAAGGGTGACCTACAGAGAGAGTACCATGTCCCTGCCTCTCTACACGCTTCTCTCTAATGGCACTGCCTGTGTCTACGGGAGCATCATTCTGATTATTTGCATGCCTCCAGTGTCCATGTGTTACAATTCCTCATTTTGTCTTGGCATTACTCTTTTCCACTATGCAGCTCCCTGGTCCCGGAGGTGTGAACCATGATCTTAGCTCTTAGGCTTACTGCCTTGAACTTGGTAGTATTAGAAAACCTTCATGTGAATAGACCAGCCTTCCTAAGCCACTGTTTGCTCTGTCTAGCTGCTTCATACTCACAGGAATTTACGTCTTAGACAATCTCTGTCACTCAGAAATGCTGTCAGTGGTGATTTTACATTTACAAAAGCCTAGATAACTCAGATAGATAAAGCAAAATTTAAAATAACACAAATCACTAAAAAATCAAAGTACAACAACACACCGTGAAGGTGAAGCAGGGAAAAGAAAGATCCAAGTTACCGATGATTGCAGACGTCCCCAGCTAATGCTGACCTGATTGGTAAATGCCTGCTGTGCATCGCAGCTCAAAAGCACAGGCCCTGCTTCTGGACACGCACTGGCCCAGACAACTGAAATTTTGCTGTATTTAGTGACACTAGACTCAAATCAGACCTTTATCAAAATGTCACAATGGTAGATCAAATGCTTTGTGAAATATGTTCCTTCACTGATCTGTAGGAAACAGACTTACAACCTTTATCAATACATTAAATTGGATTTATCAACACAACAATGTTGATAAAAATAAAAGTTGTTGCCAATTATTGACTTATTTACTACCTGGCTAAGTATCAGCTTTTGTACTGTGCTACTTGGGACTGGTGTCACGTTAACCATAACACAGCTAGCTGGGTCATCCTGCTTGCTCTCTTTATTTAATTTTCTTCCCTTAAACATTGGCACAATACTGAGACTTCTGAAACTTCACTGAAATGCCAGGAGTTATTACAAATGAGATCTCTCTTGACAATTCTGTTAGAGCTCTTTAGTACAGGTTATCTGTCCCTGCTGCTTTAAATTCATTAATGTTACTTATGATGATGAACCTTATCTTTAATTACTTGCAGACTGAAAAGGATTTCATCATCCTTCTGTAACACAAATACTTTATCCTGCATATATTTCAGTACTTAGCATTATTAACAAAACTTGCCCACTGTATCTTGTGTCACTGCAAGGCTTTCTTTGTCAGGTTACTCAGTTGTTTTCACTTTCAGTGTAGTTGTGCCAGCCACAATTTTCTGTAGTACCTTTAGAGTTCTCACTCTATTTTTATAGTTCATAATTCTCCACGGATATTGATTGCAATATAGCTTCCTTTTTAAAATATAATAAGCATCAGTAATTATGACATTTTCAACTTCTGTTGCATTTTTCATGTGGAGGTTTCACTCAGAGCATTTTATAAATATTCATTAATCTTCATAATATACCTGAGAGGAAAAGAAGTAGGGAGAAGCAAACTGAGTCAGTGGAGAGAGTCAGTAAGAGACTTATCTGATCATTGCAAGTATTGCAGAACTAGGACTAGCACAGGCAAGTTCTGGTTTAGAGCCTTATTTCACACTGCAAATGGAGTTGCGCTTTGTAAGGTGATCCTTGGACAAAAGTTATTATGCAAAAATTGTAAAGCAGATCTTATGAAACAAAATACTGCAAAAACCTGAGCATCCCCAAAAATAGAACAAGTTATTAAACAATGAATTTCCATGCACCTTGAAGGATAACAAAATTATAAAAAATAATAATTGGTAGATTATTTAAGACAAATAATGGCAAAACAGGCTAATTTCCCTTGCTGAGAGACAACGAGCCTGCAGAAGAAGGGGAAGCTGTAGATGAGATATGGCTTTTTGAGAGTTTTGATAACATTTGATGTAACATTCTGATAAGCAAACTGAGAAAACCAAAGTGCAAATGAAATCACCATAACATGGTGCACAGCTGGTTAAAAATATATATTAAAATATTACTGTAAGTATGTTGTCATTAATCTCAGACAGGTCTTCTGTTAGGAATCCCGAAGGGTCTGTTCTGATTCTAGTCAACACGTCTGTTTACTCAGGCAATGAAGTAGAGATTTTGCAAGCACTTTGAAGGACGAGATTAGAATAAAAACGATCTTTCTAACCAGAGAACTAGTCCAAGCCCCCAAAGGTGAAACTCTGAAAAGGGAGATGAAAAATGCTTGCACTGAGGAAAGGTAAATCAAGGAAAAAATTAATCCAGGGAAATATATGGCAAGGGAACAGCAGAGCTGGGATGCATAGTAGCAACCTATGCCATTTACAGCTGAAATGTTACTCTGTGGAAGTTTTAATCTTTTAAGGCTTTGGTGGATGTCCTGACTCACAAAGCAAGCAGATGCCGGACCTGCAGACATCCTACTAACAGTTACTCATGGAGTTCATGACGTATCTCACATTCCACGGAGGCGCTGCTTCTGGAATGACCCCACTGCACACACAGACTGTGGAATGTGGTGGGTATCAGGCAGAGTTTAACTCTATCCATCTTCTCAATGAAATCAGCTCACAAGCTCTGTCAACGCAAGTGCATTATCTTCTAGGAGAGCAAACATGCTGCTGGTATATATCTAATGACTACATAAAA